AGAACAGCAAAAAGAAAAAAAAAATCCAAAAAAAATGAGGATAGTGTAAGGAGCCTCTGGGACAACTTCAGGCATGCCAACATTCACATCATAGGGGTGCCAGAAGGAGAAGAGAGAGAACAAGAAATTGAAAACTTATGTGAAACAATAATGACAGAAAACTTCTCTAACTTGGTGAAGGAAACAGACATACAAGTCCAGGAAGCACAGAGAGTTCCAAACAAGATGAACCCAAAGAGGTCCACACCAAGACACATCATCATCAAAATGCCAAAGGTTAAACACAAAGAGAGAATCTTAAAAGCAGTGAGAAGAGCAGTTAGTTACCTACAAAGGAGCTCACATAAGACTGTCAGCCAATTTCTCAAAAGAAACTTTGCAGGCCAGAAATAAGAATTGTTTTTTAAAAAACTTTCTATTATAATGCATTTGTGTGTAAGTATATTGGGTTCTGACATAAAATGTATTTTCAAAACAGTTTGAAAAATATTCTAACTATTGTGACCTCATTTTTGGAGAAATTCAGTGTAGTCGTATATTTTAAGGGGATTTACTATAAACATGATACAGAGTCATAGTTAAGGACAAGATTCTGGAAACAAGTCTCTAGTTCAAATCCTAACTCTGCCACTTATTAGCTGTGTGAGTTACTTAGCCTCTCTAGGCCTCATTTCTTCATCTGTTAAATGGGAATGCTAATGATACCTACTGTCTGAGGTCATTACGATCATTAAATGAGTTGTTATTTGTAAAGTGCTTAGAGTAATATCAGCACCTAGTATAAGTTTTAGCTATTATTATGCTGTCTCCATACAGAAATGTGACCTTTAGTATGTAAACTAACTTCTCTGGGCTACATTTTTGTTGGTAAGTAATCTCTAAAGACCCTGCTGGCTCCAACATTCCTAGAAGAGGTGGAGGTATTCCCAGGACAGATTTTGAGAGAAGAAATAGCCAAATGCGAATCATCCATCCTGTTCAACTGACACCTTTGAGGTCTCAGCCAAGCAGTCTGTTCCAATGAAACATCTGTAAGCCAATTTGTTATTCTCTCTTGAAATTGCATGCAAAGGTGAATTCAGGATGGTGAGAGATTGACCAAATCAAGGAAAATGCTCTTTTTTTTCCATCCCTCAGACCCTTCATAACTAACATTGGTTTCCTGTCTCTCCCATTGTCATATGTTTTATTCCATGTACCAGGATAACCACAGCTGGGGGTGAACAGGAAATCTGTCTCCATGTTTGTTCTTTGGTTTTTATTGCCAGTGTTCCTGACTGTGAAGTATGGTGTGTAGCTGCCCATAGTTGGTCCAGTGTTTATCACAACTCACCTTTCACTGTGAAATTTGAAGCCATATCTAGCACGTAAGATCGTGGAAAACACACACGGAAAACAAGCCAACAGAAAAATAGGTGAAGTTATGATTGACTATTCACAAATAGAAAAGTGAAAACTGCCAGTGATAATATTCCATTCAGCCTCACCTATAATTAAAGAAATTCAAATCAAAACATTGAGATATTTCATTTTCACCTTTAAAAGAAGCAAATCAATTAAAGTTAGCAAATAGCCAATGCTGAAAAAGATATAGAGAAGCAGGCATTCTTATATTTAATTGGTGAGTGAGTCTAAATTGGTGAAACACTGTTGGAGGACAATTTTGCAATAGATTATATCAAAACAGTAAGTGTACATAACCTTTAACCAGCCCCCAAACTATTAAAGCACTAAGTCAAAGCAACTACCTACCTACAGACTTATAAATAAAGCCCTATTTGTTTAAGTCCTTGTAGTCCTAGACACATAAAATTATAGTCAGGTATTCTATTACTTGCAACCAAACACATTCCTAACTGACAAGTTTGAAAATAAGGCAAAGAAGAACTTCTTATCTTACACTGACTTTAACATGTAGGTTTCTATTATTTCTCCATTAAGCATGATATTGGCTTTGGGACTGAAATTTACCTCTCATTTTATCATGCTACAAAAGTGTTTATTTATATTTGGATGCTAAATTTTATCTAATGGTTTTTCAGCATCTATGGTGGTGATCTTTCCATTTTTCTTTTTTGATCTATTCATGATATAATATTCTTTTGATGTACTGCTGGGATTCTGTGTTAATATTATATTTAGGGTTTCTAAAACTATTTATAAATGAGGTTAGTATGTTACTTTTCTTTATTTTTCCCTTTTTAATGAGTTATTTTTATTGGGTCTTTTTTTACTGTTATGTTATTATTGCCTTAATAAAAAAAATAATTCTAACCTTTGAGGTTTTTAAATCTAGATGACTAAATTATTTTTATGTACTATATTTGTGTTTTTTTCAAATTTGCTTATTCTTTTTTCATAGAGCTATATTCTGTTGTTTTGACTCTAATTATTTTGAACATAACTATTTTATCATCTCTTCCAAATTGTTCTATTGTCTCATGTTCTTAAGGGGCTAATCCTATTCATTGATACATCATTCATGTGGTTCATTCCCTACTTTGTTTATAATTTCTTTTTATAAACTCGCCATCACTGGGAGTTCTTCATTCTGTGAGAGATCAGAATAAACAACTGACTGCGTTTGCTTCTGACAGGACCAGGGGGATTCATCACTTTGGAACCAGCTTTTTACATTCTGTGTTTTCAAGATTCCCTCAGCACATGGGTGGTATAAACTGGGACCTCACACCAAAGAATGACAAAGGCAAGCTAGTGGTTTCAGTTTTGAAAGCAGACTTTTTTTTTTTTTTTTTTTTAATTCATCCAGAGCCCCAGACAAACCACAAACTTCCTCACTGTGGCCCTGGACCAGTGGGAGGATTTCTGGTTTTTTTCCATCCTCTAGTCACTGAGAGCCTTTCCAGTGACCCAGCTTTAGCAGAGGCCTCGAGTCCAGATCTCCATCTTTCTAGCACACAAGACCTGAGTGGGTACTCAGCCCCCAGTCCTTAGCCATTTGGGCAAATACCCCCATGTACCTTAGAGTTCCCTCCTCCTATCTCATACCTAGAGATCCCCCCTTTCTTTCTTTCAACTGATGATTTTTCCCCAGCATTTCTGTGTTTGAAGCAGAGGTTACCTAACTTCTTGGCCTCTCGTGCTCCCAGAATTTGAATCCTTTGTTCTTTCCTCTTTCGGGAGCTTTATCCTGTCTTTAAAAAGAAAAAAAAAAAAAAAAAACCTTTCTAGAGTAACCACAAAGTGCTGTGGAAACTTCTTGGGAGATAGGAGTGTCTAACCCAGGCATGGGTGTTCAAGCAAGATTTCCTGGAAGAGAAATCTCCTAATCTGTGACCTGAAGCACATATTAGCCAGGAAAAAACAAAAAGTGCAAGTGCATTGAGGTGACAGGCTGGAGAAAGAGGTGAGGTGAAGGTTGCCCACAGAACATAGAGCACATGAATAACCAAGGTGGGTGGGGACAAACCAAGAAGCACATTCTGAGAAGCGCAGGTTCCAAGAACTGCAAGGAGCTTGGTGTGGAACATGCACTGAGATATAAGGTTGGTGAGATAAGGAGAGGCCGGTTCATGAATGGCCCATGTGCCAGGTTAGGACAGTGGACCTTATGCTGAGAGTGGAGGGAAGCCAATAAAGGTGACCATCAGGTCACCAAGAGTAGAAACATCAGGTTTAAAAGAAAAGCAAATCTAATAAAAGTTCTTTATATACATAAATATGCACAGCAGGTTAGAAATCGCCGATGACAATCCTAGAAGGCATTCAAGCACTAGCCTTGATTCCGGCACACATAACCCTGAACTCTTATCCCAAGGAGTACGGGGTAGTGTAGTGGTGCTCAGTCCCCATCGCCTAGGAATTTCCCCGCCTGCTTTGCGGATAAGTCCCCCACTCATCCAACTTGCAGACATTGTGTAAACTCTTTCAAGAAGATTTCCTCAGATTACCTCTTCCCTTTCCCTCCCTACTAGCTTCCCAAACAGCCATAACTGTGCCTGACATGGGGAAGGAGCTGTAAGCAGCAGCAGAAGCTTGAAAACAAGAGTAACCTGGGCCAAGAGCCAGGGGGTCTATTTTTAGAACTTTTCCTCCTCCCGGTTATCTTTCGACTTAGCCTAATGTCTTCCAGGCGAGGGTTAAAGTTATTTAACCCTCGAGGAGGAAAAGAAGAAGGTGGTCTAAGCCCCACCAGCAGCAGCAATGGTGATCATCTCTTGGGCAGTTCGTTCCCCCCATTTCCCCATCGTTCCCTCACTGGTGTTTACTCCCCCAAAGCAAGTTTGTGTAGGAATCCAAGCCCTTCCCGGTAACTTCTACTGGCTGTGGAGTCTGGGGAGGTCACAAATGTAATAGGTTATGGATTTCACTGCCCGTCAGACTTGACCAGGGTGCTGCTGGTGCCCTCCTGGCCCCAATTCCTGCACGTCTAAAATAGGGGTCTCACTCACTCCACCACTGTAAACAGGCTTTGGAAACGAAAGCGCCCTCTACAGATAAAAGCATCCAAGTCCTCGCTGTCCTTTGTGCCTGGTTACTCGAGGAGAAAGGCAGGGATGCATTCGTTTATCATTAAATTTTGTGAGTGCCTTACTTTTTCCTAGCCGAAAAAGAGAAAGGGGCCAGCCCTGTGTCTCGATTTATATTTCCCTCCAGCGAACAAAAGAGGTGGCCCCGCGAAGCCGCCGACGCGCGGAGGGAAAGGCAGGGTAGCGGGCCGTGACTTAACCCGCTCCGCCAGCCGGCCCGAGCCGACTCTTAAGGGCGTGCTCCCCGGCTCCCGGCTCGCTCGGCCCAGTGCACTCCAGTGGCCAGATCCCGTCGCTCCGGGTCGCCGTCCAGTTCTGCCGCCCCCGCTGGAGTTCGGGGGGCTCACGGGGCCGACCTCCGCGGCGGACCCTGGGCCCGGCCTCCCTAACGCGTACGCGCCTCCTTAAGGAGCTCCGGGGGCCGACGAGAGGCGGGTGTTTTGTTCTTATAAGGAGGAAAAGTTTCTGTGACATCCAGGAAATGAGTAACTCCGAAGCCCTCAGGTCTCGGCTGCTGGAGGCCAGAAGGCGGGAGCCGGCCGGGGTATCTCCGCCCCCCGCCCTCTAGTTGCCCAGCCCGACCCTCCGCAGCAAACGCGTCCCCGCGGCAGCGCCCGGGCCTGGGACCTGCGAGTGCAGCCAGGGCGCGCGGTCCTCCCCGACCTGCGACAGGGACGGCGGCCAAACGTAAGTTCGGGCCAGCAGCCGCGAGGCTCCGCGTCCTCCGCGTGGGCTGCAGGGTAGCAGGCGGCGATGGCCACGGGGGACGGCGGGGCTGCGCCCGAGATGGCGGCTTGGGGAGGGGGCGCAGGGGCTGCAAAGGGGCCGCGGGGGCCGCCTCGGGCTTCCAGGCTGGGGTTGACTCTGGAGACCCGCTGCAGCCCGGCGCCAGGGCGGGATGCATTGTCCTCCGGCGTCCAGCTCACGCCTCGCTGCGCGGGGTCCCGCGCTCCACTCTCAGCTCCAGCTCCGGCCCTGGCCCGCGCTCCTTTTCCAGGCGCCCGAAGCGGGACCGCGTCTTTGTTCCCACTACCCCGAGGATCCTTTACTTTTCACCGTCTGAGCACAGTGCTGGGGCTGAAAGACAGGGCTGGGGGTGCCCCAACTCCTTAGCCAGCTCTCTTCTCGCTTTCTTTCCCCTCCTGGACGGAGGGAGCAGAAGTGAAGCTTTATTCTCAGTTTAAGGTAGTGAAGCTGTGGGGTTGCTGGGGCCGGACAAGATAAAGCCATCACCGCTTCCTCTTTCAGGACTATTAGTGGAGGAGACCCCAGGCTGCGCAGAACTTTCTCTTGGGGTTGCAGAGAGGCTATGCCTCCTGACCCATAACTCCATCCCCAACCTCTTCCCAGTGTCTCCACCTTTCTGACCGCCGTCTCAGGGGACTCTGAAGCCTCCGGAGCTGGCTTCCCATTGGAAACGCTCCTTCTCTTAAAGTTAAATAAATAAATAAAAATGCTGCTACCTAGGAAGGGGAAAAAATTACTGAACCTCTCAGTGATAGCACTTTGCCCTTTCCCCCTCTGCCTGGTGTGAGAAGGACCTCCCTTCCAAACTAGAAGAGCACTAGGTACTGGCAGAGCCTAGCCCCTAAATCAGTTTCCGAGTTGTATTAAATTTTCTTGTTCCTCTTTTCAATCTGACCAAGGGCCCTTGCCTTTTTAAACCAGTTCTGCCTTGGAAAGGCTGTCAGGTAAAGCTAACCGGTGCCCAGTGCAGGTTAGACTGGTAAATGGAGTGGCACACATAGGTAGAATTGCTGCCATTCACCTCTTTACTCATAACAGAATAGGCTGTGCTTGGAATCCTCCTTCCAGCCTACGTGTCTAAGTGGCTTTCACTCTTTGCTAATTCCTTGTGTCTGCTGCTGCCCCAGCCCTTCTTCCCTCCTGTTTTCCACTTGTGGGTAACCATGAAGTGGTTATACTGACTGCACTCCCTGGGTGGATGGAAAGGCTTTTGCTCAAGCACCATCCCCTAGTTCCAAAATTGTCAGTAATACAGCAATTTCAAGTTCTGGCTTTTAGGGGACAAGGATCTGACCTTTTAACCTGATGCCATCATCCCAGAACTTGTCGCCTTACCAGGAATAGGCTCTCAGCTTCTGCAGCACCTGTGAAGAAAACAAAGAGGAGGGTATGTAGGTGAACTTTTTACCCAAGGACAAGTTTAGGGAAGAACTTCTGGATAGAGGCTTCTGGCAAAATTGCCCACCTGAGCAAGTACTGTCTGGGAGGAAACTGTATTTTGTACTTTTCCCTCTTGGGGTCAATAAAGAGAAAGGTGGGGGGGGGGTGACGGAGGGGGTATACATCTTGGTGGCAGGCAGTGACAAGCACCCCTGGCTTAGAGCCCAGGAAGAGCAGAGTTGAGCCGCTGGGATGAAGGAACCCCCTTCTTAATATCTCTTCTTTCAAGGGATACCACTGCCAAATTGGATGTGTCCACAGGGGAGGGGGTGGAAGTTCTGGAAAAGTGTGCTTGTGAGAGAGAAGGGGATGAACTGGCAACAGTTCCCCTAAGGATGAGCGGCCTGGTGGCTCGGGCTGTGGCCTTCAGGAATCCCAAGCATTGTCACTCGAGGAAAGATTCGCCCTGCCTGGCCGCATAGACTCACTGGTTAGCAGAGGTAGGGAAATGGATTTTATTCAGAAGTCAGAAGGTACCTGCCAACAACGATTTCCTTAGTAGGCAATGTGCTGCCCATCACTCAGCAGAGACAGGTGGTCATCAACAGGGACCAAGGAGAGGGTTTTTTCAGAGGCTAAGCCTCTGTGACTCCATGTTTGGGGCTGAGCATCTCCTTGTTGGGGATGAGATAGTAGGACAGCCTGTGGGGCTTTCGGGGAAGGCTTTAACCTAGACGTGCGCTGGGAGCTGAGGAGCAGGACCTTATGTACGACTGAGACCGGTCCACCTCGGACTCCCCTCTAATCGTCTTGGGAAGGAGGACATAGCCATGAGAATGCCGAGAGCTGCTAGCCTGGTCCATCCTCTGTGTGAGTTATAGTAAGGTACTCCCTCTAGACAAGAAGATGTCACCTCGGTCCATTTAGAAAAAGGAGTCTCATCTGGATGGACACAGCCATGGCACTTAGCCGGACAAACGACATGGGGGCTGGATCCATCTTCACCACGCCTCAGCTGGGTGTCCTTGAGCGGTACACCACCTGTTCATTCACACAGCAGCCTTGATAAGCAGCAACCATTGAGGATTTAACATTCTCTAGGCATTTTTTTTTAACTACATTGCCTGTATTAACTCATTCAATCTTCACAGTACCCCTATGACATGGTATTGTTATCCCCATTTTATAGATGAGGAAACTAAGGCACAACAAAGTAATGTGTTCAGGAGCCTGGAAGCTGAGTCCCAACCACCGAGCATTCCCAGCACAAGGTTAAGCTTAAAAATCTAGTTTGCTTGGGGTCTCTCATGGGGAGAAAGAGGGAAGAGCAGTTGCCTTTTTCTTTCTTCGTCAAGGGAAGAAATACCCGTTCTCAGCTCAGATGGAGGAAAAGATGGAAAACTCATCTGGGAGAAGCAAGGCATGGGAAGAAAGAGGCAGGCCCGGCCTTGATGGCTGATGGGAAGCCTGGCCCAAGCATCAAATGATGTTCCCTCTCAATAGCTGGGCGTTGTGAGGTGGCAAATCCAGTTTGGGGCCTGGCATGAGAGTGATGAGTAAGTGCCACCTGGGTGTGGCACAGAGGGAAAAGGCCACAGCTACACAAGGGCCCTCGCCTAGGCAGAGAACTCCCTCAGGAGTGGAACAAAGTGAGGAGTGACTGAACATGCTGTCCTGACACTTCCTCTCCCAGCCCCCAGCCCTGTCCAGGTCCTGCTCACCTGCAAACACCCTTCACAAGCTCATTCAGGAAACCTTTCCCAAAATTTGCATGTCACAGCTCCATCTTTATGGTCACTTACTTTCCACACTATACATTTCAGCACTTAATTAGCTGGAGGTGAGCGTTTTTCTATGTACAGACAGACAGACAGCATTTTAAACAAATCAGGCTTCTCAGCCAATAAGGAATTCTTGCCCTGGCCGGTTTGGCTCAGTGGTTAGAGCATCAGCCTACGGTCTGGAGAGACCCGGGTTTGGTTCCCGCTAAGGGCACGTACCTCAGCTGCAGTTTGTCCTCTGCCCTGGTTGGGTCGTGTGGGTGGCAACCACTCGATGTGTCCCTTTCACGTGGATGTTTCTCTCTCTCTCCCCCACTCTATCTGAACAAAAAATGGACAAATGTCCTCAGGTGAGGATAGATAAATAAATAAATAAACAAACAAACAAATCAGGTTTCTCAAACCAATAAGGAATTCTCGATGTCTTAATGTCTCCTGGGAAGGGCTAGCCAGTGCCCAACAGATTTCCCATAAGTGTAGTGTTTATTTTTTATTTTTTTATCCTCATTCGAGGACATTTTTCCATTTTTTGCTCAGATAGAGTGGGAGGGAGAGAGAGGACGAGAGAAAGAGAGAGAAACATCCACGTGAAAGGGACACATGGAGTGGCTGCCTCCTACACGACCCAACCAGGGCTGGGGACAAACTGCAACCGAGGTACGTGCCCTTAGCAGGAACCAAACCCGGGTCTCTCTGGACCGCAGGCCGATGCTCTAACCGCTGCGCCAAACCAGCGAGGGCAAGGGTAGTGTTTAACTGGATCGTGTCACCTGTCCCAAGGTCTAGCTCTTAGTTGTATCCATTTGGAAACCCTATCTCCACAATTTCCAGAGTGGTTTGGGCTTGGGCTATTGATTGAGCTCAAGAAAGCTCCCAGAAGTGGGTGTACAAATCAGAATGCTATCTGTACAAATCAGAATTGCTAGGAGACCTCGTGATGCAGACTGAATGCTATCTGTTCCCTGCATCCTGGACAAGCCACATAGGAAACTAAAGATTAGAAGGCAGCTTGTGCTCGACAAAGCTGGAGTCAAGGCCAGGGATTGGGTGGAGTGATGTCCAATGGCATCTGTTTGCCTCTGTAGACCTCTCACCAATGGAGAAATACCTGCCAAGTAGACCAGTACTCCAATCATCCTGGCTGTGTGCATTTCCTTGGCCAGTTCCCCAACGTCAGTATTTACCTGGTAGGATTTCCCCCTTTTCTCTTTCATAATTTAGCCATTTTTATTTTATTTATTTTGTTTAGTGCATTATAAGCTTTAGCTCCCAGCCACATCAAGCTGTATTTGCATAGGTTTGACTACTACACAGTTTTAGCGTTGGAGTTTCAGGCCATAGGGTACATGCTACATGCAAATCAAGAGGACAGTCAGGTGGCCTGGATGGGTCAGCAGGAAGCCAACCACAGAATAAAGGAACCTGGCCCCTTATTTGCATGGCTGCCCCGGGAAGTGGAAGGACCAGGACTGGCCACTTCCTGCAGCCCCTGCGTGAGCATGGGAGACAGACAGCCCTGAGGCAAGTGAGCCTTTTGGTTCCCTCAGCCACCTGGCCATCCCAGCTGGCCTCCTTGAATTTAAAGAGCTTTCCCTTTTATCTGTCCAGACCCCCTTATGGCCTATCTTTAGTAAGCTGCCATCTCCAGGTGCCCCAGAGCCATGGAGGTGACGAAGGTGGGCTTTGGAGGAGGGCAAACTTGGGTTGCATCCTGGCTCCACTGCTCAGCAGTTGGGTGTTCTCTGTGTTGGGGTAAGTGCCTTGACTTTTCCAAGCCTTGGTTTCATCATCAGTAAAATGGGGGTAACCCCTCATAGGGCATGCATCGAAAGAGCTAACTAAGCACGGTGCCTGGCACAGACCAGCACTCTGGCTCGTGTGAGTTCTTAAAGATGGTAGAGGTCAACTGAGAATCTATATTCTCTGCCAAATTGGAACCCTAACTTCCCCATTAGTACCACGGCCCCCTCCTCTGAGGTGTAAGCAGAGGGCAAGGTTGCTGGGACCCAGACTGTCCCGGATGGTGAGGAGATCATCAGTGCCCTTGTGTTAGTTTTTTCAGGACTGAGGGCAAAACTGCTTGTCCTGACCATTCAGCCGACTCTGGGAGAGGGGAGGTCAGGTTAGAGGCTTGGCCTGTCCCAGGCATCCAGAGGACAGAGACGGGTGAGAAAGGTTTCTGGGAGAGAAAGCAGGTCATTTGGAAGTGCCCAGGAGGTCTACAAGATCCTCCTCAGCAGTTTGGGAACTGGGATGGTTTCCCATTGAAAGCATATCCCCCTCCATTCTGGTGGCCCACCCCACGACATCAGCAGAATGGAAGTCCCTTGCAGGTGACATCACTGTTGCCCACGGCAACACCTCCATCTTAAGGTAGACGGGGAAGAACAAGAGCCACTCCAACTGTAAGACACATTTTGAAGGGAAGGAGCACAGAAGGCGGAACATCCTCAGGTGTGTTTCTCAGAGGATGGGCACGGAGAGGGAGGGGCTGAAGGTCCCAGGTTCCAGTTGTGAGCCGTTGGGGGTTGGTCTTCTGGCCTTGGATTTGGTCCAAGGGAATAGAGCACAGTGCTGACCGCTTCAGTCTTGTTTTGTTCTCTGAGCTCTGATGGGGAGCAAACAGCATGACTCCTTATAGGGGCTTCTAGCAGCTTCTGTGGCTCTGAGCCTCCCTTCTACAGCCTAAATCAGTGAAGTGGGAGAGGAAGAGCAGGGATGGGAAGGTCAGAACTGTGGCTTCCCTCTTCTTCACCCTCACCCCCAAAAGAGAGAAATGAGGATGCTCATGTCCTTCCTATCGGGGGCATGGGGCCTGGCAAAGAGAAATCCTTTATTCACTGATTGGGCAAGTGTGTACTGTGAACCTGCCATGGGCAAGGCACTATGCTAGGGGTGCAGTGGCCGCGCGGAGCTTGAGCGAATGCACATAGAGAGGACGCCTGTCTGGAGTCCACTGCCCCAGAAGTTGGAAATAGGAGCAAGATCTCACCAGTCCCCTCTCACCCAGCTCTAGCAGGCCCTGTGGAATTACTGATGGTTCAGTTAAACCTATGGAATCCATCCTCCCCAGCAGTTCATGCAGGAATTTGGAGGTGTCCGAGATACACCTGAGGCTTTGGCAGTGGTGTTAAAGAGAGACAGCCATAGACGTCATCTGTGTCCTGCCAAAGGGAATCCCGGGGTACAGACAGCTCTGTAAAGCTGAACTCACTTGGTGATCCTGGTGCTCTTAACTTGGCAACTTGTGGTTTCCCCGAGTCTCATAAGGGGATATCTCCTGTTCTCCTTCAGAGAGAAATTCCTAAGCAAGGACTGTTAAATGCCAACACAACAAATGCAAATTGCAGGAAAGGAAGAACTCCTTGCCCTAAAGAAAGGTAAAAACCTAGATGATGTGGTCGTTCTCCTTCTAAAGAGGTTTCAGAACAGAATCTCCTTGTCTTTCAACTTGTAGGTATTCAATTAAAGTTTTTGCTTTGCACAACTGGCCATAATTTCAGACGCTCTAACATAGCTTCCCTGACCTCCAGCATATCGGTGGCTAAAGAAATGACCCTAATTTTATATGAATCGTAGCTTTTTTCGGGTTATAAGTGAAATCTAGAGTATATTAGCAGAGAATAGTATTTGCAAATTGTGCTTAGGAATCTGGTCCTGAAATCAGTTGTCATGACCTTTTGTTCATAGAAGTAGAATAGCCTTTAAAAAAAAAATAGCTTCATTCATTGAGCACTTACTCTGTCTGAGCAAAGCCCCATCTTAGGGGCTTTGCATATATTATTTCTCTTCCTCACAACAGCCCTTGGAGCTAAGTATTAGTCCAGTTTTATAGATGAAGAAATAGGCTCAGACAGGCCAAGCTACTTGCCCAGAGTCACAGAGCTGAAAACAGCAAACCCAGATCTGTGCCTCCCAGAGCCTTTGACTCTGTCTGCCACCTCAGGCCTCTGCTGGACACCCGACCCAGTGAATGTAAAGGTCGCATACAGAATCCCACGAAATCTAAGTGTCCGAGGTGAGAAGACAACAGGCAGACCCTCAGCTCCAGGTTCCCTCTTGCTGTGATGTCTCTGTGATGGAGCTGTTTCCTGTCTGTTTAATGGGGACAATGGCAGCCAGTATCAGGTAATATTCAGAGCAGTTTGAGATCCTCAGATGGCAGTCCCTAGAAAAAATACAAAGCCCACAGTTTTCAAATGACTCACTTCCAGGTGGATAACAGCACACTGAGACACTGGCTGGAAGGAGGGCTCACTTTGAAGCCATCTGGGCTGCTCCTTCCTCCAGGTCAACCCTGCAGTGGATGCAGGAGCGTCTCCTATCAGCCTGGATCAGACCAGAAGGAGGGCGTTGTCATAATTCTGGCCCTACTTGTCGGTGCAACACCACATGCTCATAACAAACTGTTCTCCTGGGAGCCTGTTTCAATAGACTTCTTAGTAGCAGACAGGGGACCCGCCTGAAGTTCATGAAAGGGTCCTTTGTTTGCTGAGACTTTGTTCCAGAGTCACTGAGGAGACAGGACCACAGGGTGCCTGAGCTAGAGGGGGTGCCTGACACCCCTGTGTGCTGCTCCAGAATGCCCCCCAAGGCATCCATGCCACTTCCCTGATGGCCTACCCCAAAACGCACAGCCCAGTGTCAGAGAGTCCCTGCTCCCTTTTCCTAATCCACTGCAGGAGAGCTTCCTGTCCTTGTGGCTGAAGAGCCAATTCATCTCCCAGGTCCCACTCCCAGTATCTCTTCATTACGTCTAACCTCCTGCTTCATGCCTGAATTTCACCTAAGTTGTCACATGCCCGTCCCGAAGCCGTACAGGGAGGAAAGCCCACTGGTGTGCGTCTGATGTTTCACAGAAACCAGACCCCTGAGCAGCATCACGGGAAGGCTGAAGACTTGGAAGTTAGACAGTGCTGGGTTCAAATTCTGGCTCTGAGATGTTGAATGAGTGGCCTCACCTCTCTGTGCCTCAGTTCCCTTATCTGTAAAATGGGGACACTGTCTCCTGTAGAGCTTTATTGTGACATAAAGCATTTTGCACAGTGCTTAAGTCTCAATAAATATGGTGTATTGGTTGCTATATACTAACCATCCCATGGGCGACAGGGCCAGGTGGCTTGTTGGGTTTTCTCCGGAAAGGGAGAATTGCTCGTCGCTGTGCCCAGGCTTGCTCTCTGCTCCTTCTCTTACCTAAATTGCATCAAACTCTGTAATCCTCCATTTACCTTCCTTTTCAATGAGGTGGGTGTCCAGGAGAGGCAGCTGGGGGTCAGATAAGCTGACATCGGGGTTCATTCCTGGGTCATTTTCTTGGTGAGTGGTGGTGGTTGGTCAGTCTGCAGTTGGATGCAGCCATCCGGGCTGTGGTCTGCCTCCAGAGCTGTGTCTGGAAGGGTGTTGCTCACATTTCCCAAGGCTCTCACGACTGTTGGCACTTTGCTTTTCTGACCGCAGGGTGCCTCCCAGGAGACAAAACTTCAGCAGTTACTTCATCCCGGGCCTCCCACTCTACTCCCATTTCAGATTCTTACTCCTGGGAGTAAAGGCCGTAAGGTTCTTTCCAGTCCTGGCTCCACCATCCATTCATTCGTTCAGCAAGCACTCCCGGGACGCCTGCACCTTTAATGCCGGGCATCAGAGGCCAGCGCTGGTTTGTCCTTCTAGGAGCTCCGAAGGCGAGGGGGAGCTGTCAGGATGCTGCCGGACGGAAGTGGGGAGCTATGAGCTCCCGGGTCCCAAGCTTCCTGCTCTCATTCTGTGGCAGCCCCTGGGGCCTTTAAAAGACAACAAGGAGCCCTGGCCGGTTTGGCTCAGCGGTTAGAGCGTCAGCCTGCAGTCCTGAGAGACCCGGGTTCGGTTCCCGCTAAGGGCACGTACCTCGGTTGCAGTTTGTCCCCGACCCTGGTCGGTTGTGCGGGTGGCAGCCACTCGATGTGTCCCTTTCACATCGATGTTTCTCTCTCTCTCTCTCTTCCTCTCCCCCCCCCCCCACTCTACCTGAACAAAAAATGGAAAAATGTCCTCGGGTGAGAATGGATAGATAGATAGATAGATAGATAGATAGATAGATAGATAGATAGATAGATAGATAGATAGACAACAAGGAGATGGAGACAATTTAGCAATATCCCCAGACTTCTGGAGTTGCTGTAGGGATGTTGATGACCCTTCTCTTCCCAGAGGAGTACCTAAGATGCACCCTGCAGGATTTAACAAATTGAAAGGAGACCTGGTCTTATCATAGCCAATACCATGTCATTTGCAGGGCACTACCCCACGTGACTTCCTGCCCTAAGTAGGCACTGTTCTCATACAAGTGGGAGAGCCAGGGTTTAAACGCAGGCCTTCTGATCCCCAGTGTGGCCCTTGGCACCTGTAGGGAAGCCTCTATAAATGAAGTGTTAAGCTCTTCTGAGCTAAAGAGCTTTGGGCTGTTTCTTTCTGGGTGGCCTTGAGGCAGGAGTATGTCCTGGTGAACTTGGCAGTGTCAGTGGGTGGCTGTTTGCTGCCCGCCCCACTGTGTACCTGTCTGGTTCAGGGACACCTGCTGTGGGTGCCGCCTCCGGCTGAAGCCAGGGCAGAGCACTCTGGTCGTCACTTCATTCCCGGTGGCAGGGAAACAATACGGCTGTAGGTCAGTGTTGTTTTGTGTAATTCTCAGGGAGAGTGACTCTGTGGTCACAGATGATTCTGGGGATAATTTTGCTGCCTGCACCTGGCCCTCCGGTGAGGCCCCTGCCTTCCTTGGAGGCTAAGAACCGGGCGCCGTGACTGGCGCAGCCCTGCTGATGAAGACGGCAGGCCAGGTAAGCGGCTCTGCTGTTCCGCCCAGGTCCCTGCAGCACAGAACACAAGCCAGGCTGACCACAAGCTCTTAAGTTTTTTACAACTGGCTTGGCCTCCCCCTTGCTTTTGTGTCTCTTGCTGTTCCTATTTATTAAGATGAAAGGGGTTTTAGATCTTTGCAGGCACAGGACATGAGTGTGTGTGTGTGTGTACGTGTGTGTGTGTGTGTGTACATGTGTGCATGCCCCTTCACAGGAGGCCCACAGCGCTTCCCTTCCTCCCCACCCCTCTGCCCCCTTCCCCAGCTGGGGCCCAGGCATTGTGTCAGGTACCACCCAAGCCACAGGGGACCCGAGTGGGAGAACAGCCTGGGATTTCTCCCTTTGGGGGCCAGATTCCCTTTAAGCCAGGACGTGAGTAAGGGAGGTGGGGTAGGAGGGAGAGGGGAGCTTTTCTGTGGCCATGGAAAAACCCTGGGGGCCCATTCCCCCCCTGCTGAGAGACCAGGTTGTCTTTTTGAGCTGGTCTGTCTTTTTTCCTACCAACCAGGAAGGTGGCTTGCTGAGTACCGGCCATCTGTTTAATTCCATCCATCCCCAGCTCTTCTGTGAGGGGGGCAGTGGGTAGCCAGGGGAGAACTTTGTGTCCCCTTTGTTGTCCTTCAAATTACTCTCGGTTCCTGCTCCACCCCCTCAGGACTCCTCCCCACCAAGCCAGTGTGTTTGCTGTCGTCTGGAACAGGGCAGCTGCCCCCCCTGCCCACAGCCAAGTGTGGCTGGTCCTGAGCATCCGCTGCTCTGCTTACGGCCCAGGCGCGCAGAGAACACAGGGTGGAGGGAGAGACAGGAGGCAAGCCTGGAGTGCCCTGGCATGCCTGCCCTGAGGGGGGTGTTAATGTCCCCGCCCCCCGGCAACGTGCAGGCCTTCTTGTGGGTGAGATGGGGCCCAGAGACAGAGGGGAATTGTGAGAAGTACAAGCTGAAGCCAGGCCTATGTCTGAGGGCTGCTTCGCCGTGGGAAATGGTTAGCACCGCGCTGTGCTGTTAGCACGCCCCTGTGATTTCGGGTCTAGAAACCTCGATGGGAATCCGGGGTCAAGGGAGACCCGTGGGCGCACACTCACTGCAGGAAATGCTTCTTCCTAGAATGGAGGGTTGGAGCAGACTTTCTTTTGAAAGTGGGAGTGTCCAGCATGCCGGGTGGGAGCCTACTGGTGCATTCCCAGGATCGGGGGTCCCCAGGATTGCACATGTCATTAGTACTGTGAGCAGGCAGCCCTGTGTTTGGGTTTTGCCAGGCACTCTGGGGAATGGCAAGACAACCAGCCCCGCCTGCCTGCCCGAAGAAGGCAGCAGGATGGGGTCAGGGAGAGGAAGACTGGAGCCTGAGACCTGGCTCCTCTGCCCTCTTCCTACTTGTGTGGTCTTGAGCAGCCCGTTGCTCAACCTCTCTGTGCCTTGGGCTCCTGCCTAGGGACTGGGGCTGTGGTTCAGGTGAGAGAGCTAAGGATGAGACACCGCCTGCAGCCAGGTACTGTGTGCACTCCGGGCTTCACACATACTCCATCTCCCTCCACCCTTTCGTCCCTTTCAAGAAAGAAGGATTTGTCTCAGGGGTGGGGGTGGGGGTCAGGAAGGCCCCCGGAAACAGTTTCTGAGATAGGCTTACTACGAGGCCATCGGGTAGGGTTTTGACCTCAGAGACATGAAGGGTGGACCTGGTGCAGGGAATGGCGGGGGAGTGTAGGAGGGATTCAGGGACAGTCGATAATCTGAAGAGACGGAGGCAGGCCAGAAGGGGTCCCCTGCAGCTGGTTGGGGCCAGGCCATGAACATCAGGCGCAAAGCTCAGGCCTGGGTGGCATGGAAACAGGGACGCTCTGAAGTGGGGAAGGAAGACCTCCAGAGCTGGGGAGCCTGCCTGGGGGACCGGGATTAGGGACAGCTCAGAGACGCTGATACCCAAGGTCCATGCTAGCCAGGCCAGGGAGCCCCATTCGTGTGAAACCCCCAGGCTTTGGTGGCCAGCAGAGGCTGCGGCAGAGAAGACTGGGACACTGGGGTACCCAGCAGAGATGGGGAGGCTAATGTGGGACCCGGGTGGGGAGAGCAGGGTGCATTGAGCTTTGAGACTGAGTTAGTCTCATGGGGCTGTTATAACAAAATACTCAGACGGGTGGCTGAAAACGACAGGAATGTATTGGCGCACAGTTCTGGAGACCAGACGCCCGAGATGGAGGCACCTGCAGGGCCACGACCCTTCAACTCTCCAAGGAAGAACCTCCCTGCCTTGTCCAGCTCCTGGTGGCGCCAGGCCCGCCCAGGCTGCGGCCACCTCACGCCAGCCTCGGCCTCCGTCTTCCATTGCCTTCTCCTCTTGGTCTTTTTTCTTGTTTTCTGTCTCTTTATAAGGACACTTGTCATTGGATGTAGGGCCCACCTGGGTAATCCAGAATGATCTCAGCTCAAGATCCTCAATTGAATTACATCCGTAAAGACCCTTCCTCCAAACAAAGTCACGTTCGCAGGGTCCGGATGTTGGCTTATGGACTTACCTTTCTGAGGACCACCATGCCACCTGCTACGGTGACTGTTGGATTCGAGGTGACCTGAGGAGAAAGGGCGGTGTGGGCCCAGATTCCGGGGGGCCCCTTTCTTGTCTCTTGACCTGCAGATGTCCTTGTCATCTCTTAGCCTCTTCCCCTTCCACCACCTAGCCTAGTCAGTCCGTCTGTCTGTCTGCCCCAACGCGCTGTGATTTTTCCGTGACGTCCCAGGGGTCAGGGCCTCTGCTGGGGGAAGTCAGCATGGCTGGACGGGAGGACGCCATGTCCTTCCTGGGAGATTGATGGCTTCCCTGCCTTCTACCTCCTCCGGGACAGGAAGGACATGGGCTCTCCCACCCACGTCACGGAAGTCCAGGTTGCTGTCCTTCCTGTGCCGGGACTGGCTGGCCACATAACCCCAGGCCAGAGGATGGGATTGGCATCCTGGTGACTTTGTGGACACTCCTTCCTCTTCTGAGAGGGGGCTTTGTGGAAAGGTCATGCTTTGACAGGTGTGCCCAGCATCCCTGCAAGTGTGACCATGTGGCCACGTGCCCCGACAGCAGAGCTCACCTTGTGAGAGGGCCGCTCCCCTTGGCGTGTACACTTCCCCAGAGCCTCACCCGCAGGGGGGCTCTCTCCTCTCAGCTCTCTAATTCTGCGCCCCCACACTCACCAGAGCCCAGTCTGGGTTTTCCTGAGCCGGGTTTCTACTCAGTCTGTCCGGGGCCTCCCCTGGCTTAGGAAGGGGCCATGGGGCTCTGGTTCTCGGGTCTTGGGGACCACTGGCCTTAGTCTATAATGTCAAGTGCTTCCTAGTGCAAGGTGTCTTTCTCTGTCCTTCTAGTTCCTGGGAGATGTGGGGAAGGCAGTTCCGTGAGCACAGGCCTGGCACGTAGTCAGCCTTCACAAGTGCTACTGGGACCAACTGGGAGGCACTGGAAGGAGCCCAGTGGCCAGGAAGAAGCTGAGCCTGTCTGGGGGCCAGGACTGAGGTCCAGCCCACTGGGAGAGGTGGAAGATGCCTGCAGGGTGGGGGAGGGTTGCAAAGACACTGAGAAGGGAAGGTGCTGGGGGCCCCGAACTGCACCCTTTCTGCCCACTTTCTCAATCACTTGGTGTTGGCCTCTTCCTTCCCATTTCCACACTTCCTGTTTTACCTGCCCCTCCCTCTCCTGAGGACTGCCAGGACCCCGCCCCCACCCCAAAGCCGCTCAGCCCCTCTCTGCCCCCCAGCAGACTCCCTCCTCCATCATTATTTGGGGTGCAAGTGGAAAGAGACCTCAGCCAGAGATGCCCCCGTGGTGGCTCTATGGCCTTGTCCTTGCTGGGGCGTAGGCCGGCTCTGCGAGGCCTTTCTCCTGCTGCAGGGACCCCGCTCTGGAAGGGTGGGGGCCAGTCACGTTGAGCAGGAGGGTGTTCAGCGCTCCGTTATCACACAGTCTCCGTTATCACTCTCTGTGCAGTCTGTGCGTCCGCTGGCCCTGAGTTGGGCAGAGAGGGAGGAGTTTGCGGAGACGTCACTCCCACAGCCAACCACTCCCCCCAAATCCATGGTATCAGCTCCCACTGATAGATCGTGTGCCTGCAGCATGCCCACCTGAGCCTGGTGCCCTGGGGAGGCAAGGGCACCCAGCTTCTGGGCCGTCCTGGAACTGTAGGTAGGAGGCAGGGACCCACTTGTGGGGGAGCTGACAGGCAGAGCAGGAAAGGGCAAGGGAGACCTGCACGGGGGGGCAGGCTCCCCGAAAGATGGTGCCCTTGGACTCAGTGAGGAAGCTGGTCTTACCCCAGTGCGGGGCATGGGCTCTGCTGGAGAGAAGCTTGGACGCAGGGAGGAGGCAGCTAGGCCAGACCCCGGGAGGAGAACCTCACCGGGGCTCCAGACTGACTGCGCCTGGGGCCCAGACGCCAAACCCAACCCCAGGGTCAAACTCAAGCTCTGCATTCAACCTACCCTTCCTCACAGTCCTGTTTCTCCAGGTCCTGGGAAGCTTGGGGACAGCTGTCCTGGATGGTGTGGGTGTTTGCCCCTGGCAGTGGTACCAGGGAGATGCCATCATCGGGCAGAGGGAGATGACAGGATTTACTAATGCCCCAGTGGGGGGCAGAGCAGAGGGATGGGGACAAACTACAGAAGGGGAATCTTAGAAGCCACCCAGGGGACCTCCCTGACCATCGGTCTCTTCATAAGATAGGAATGTTGCAGCTACCTGATATTCTGAGAATTTAAATGACAAAACACATGCAAAGTACTTAGCTTCCTAAATGTGGGCTGTTAATGAAGACATCATTACTTCCACGACTTCTGCCCAAGATGGAAGCCGGTGAGGTTCACAGGTGATATGCAGCCTGCCTGGACCACCTCTACCTTTACCCCCCCGGTCCTCCTCTTTGGGCCTCGGTTTCCTCATCTGTAAAATGGGGCTTAGACTAGTATAACTAAATTCTGACACTTAAATTTGTGGCTGTATT